AGATACCACCTTACACCTGTCAGAATGGCTATGATCAAAAACACTAATGACAGTCTATGTTGGAGAGGATGTGGAGCAAGGGGAACACTCCTCCACTGTTGGTGGGAGTGCAAACTTGTATAACCACTGTGGAAATCAGTATGGTGGTTTCTCAGAAAATTGGGAATCGATCTACCTCAAGACCCAGCCATACCACTCTTGGGCATATACCCAAGGAATGCTCAATCATACCACAAAGATACATGCTCAACTATGTTCATAACAGCATTATTCGTAATAGCCAGAACCTAGAAACAACCTAGATGCCTGTCAACTGAAGAATGGATTTAAAAAAATGTGGTACATATACACAATGGAGTACTACTTAGTAGAGAAAAACCATAACATCATGAAATTTGCAGGCAAATGGATGGAACTAGAAAATATCACCCTGAGTGAGGTAACCCAGATTCAGAAGGACAAACATGGTATGTACTCACTCATAAGTGGATACTAGATATAAAGTAAAGGACAATCAGACTGCAACCCACACAGATCCAGGGAGGCTACCTAGCAGGGGGCACCCTAGGATGACTGTGGCTTATAAGTTTTGTTTTTACCCAATCACTGGGCAAACTCTAGTGAAACATTTCACTATTAGGATAAGAATTTGTACTGTATCAAGCTGATGAAAGAAAAAAATTGTTTTATTTATGTGTATCTGTATGAAAGGTTGTCACGTTTGTGCAGCTGCTCACAGAGGCCAGAAGAGAATGTTGGATCCCCTGGAGCTGAAGTTTCAGGCAACTTTGATCCATGTGGGTACTGGGAATTGAACCTGGGTTCTTTTGAAGAGTAGCTGGTGCTCTTAACTGCTGAGCCATCTTTCCAGCCCTGTGCCAGGCTCTTTAAATACTATTTATTTATTTATTTATTTATTTATTTATTTAGTTTTGTTTTTTGGAGACAGGGTTTCTCTGTGTAGTATTGGAACCTGTCCTGAATCTCACTCTGTAGACCAGGCTGGCCTCGAACTCACAGACATCTGCTTGGCTCTGCCTCCCGAGTGCTGGGATTAAAGGCATGTGCCACCACCACCTGGTGGTACAATATTTTTATATTTTGATGACAATCCTGTAAGTAAGGAATTTGCTATGCAATCCAGGCTGGCGTCAAACTCACAGAGATCTACCTGTCTCTGACTTCCAAGTGCTGGGATTAAAGCTGGGTGGTGGTGGCACACCCCTTTAATCCCAGAAGGCAGAGGCAGGCATATCTCAGTGAGTTTGAGGCCAGCCTGCACTGTTGTACAGAGAAACCCTGTCTCAAAAAACAAAAAACACAAAACACCAATGTACATAAAATAAAAATAAATAAGTAAATAAATAAAAAGAAAGAGCTGGAGAGATGGCTCAGTGGTTAAGAGCACTGATTGCTCTTCCAGAGGAACCAGGTTCAATTCCCAGCCTCCACATGGCAGTTCATAACTGTCTGTAATTCCAGTTCCAGGGGATCTGACATCCATGGCAAAATACCAATGCATATAAAATAAAAATAAATATAAACAAAACAAAACAAAACAAAAAAACCCTTGAGCCTAATAAATTAGCAACACATACCATATAGAAGCTATAACCTATTTAAAGAGGAAGCAGAATACTAGGTCTATACCACAGTTCTAGTCTCTAGGTGTATACTGTAGGGCAAGGTATTTCACCTCTCTGTTTTCTCAGCTGTAATAGTCTCCCATCTATTTTCTTTTCATTTTTGGGAACTGAACCCATGGCCTGAAATGTGCATTATATCTAAGCACTCCATTAAGCTACATCCCAGCCATTATTAGAATTATTTAGAGCATGAGTAAAGGTAAGCAAATGGATGAGTGGTATTACTAAACACTGGACATTCATCATCATTGCATCTAAGTTAGGTTTTATAGGTATAAAAATATACTGACAACAATAATAGACAATATATAATATATAACAATAATTGCATAGGGTTTGGGAAGATTAAATCAGTTAAACAGCAACATTATTAGGTTGGGTATACAGCCCAGTATATATAGCCATGAGGTCCTGAGTATGATTTCCAGTACCATAAAAAGAAAGGGAGGAGAGGAAGAAAGAAGGAAGAAGGGATAGAGACAGGAAAGGAGAGAAGGAAGGAGGGAGAGGGCCAACAGTGAGACAGGAAAGGAGAGATGGATAGGGAAGCCTGATGGTGGGGCGGGAGCTTGGCTTATAACTATATGTATATGTATATGTATATATATATATATATGTATATATATATTTAAATTTATTTATTTATATATATATTTTATTTTACAGTACCATTCAGTTCTACATATCAGCCATGGGTTCCCCTATTCTCCCCCCCCCCCCCCCCCCCCCTTACCCCCAGCCTACCCCCCGTTCCCACCACCTCCAGGGCAAATCCTCCCCCAGAGGACTGCTATCAACCTGGTAGACTCAGTCCAGGCAGGTCCAGTCCCTTCCTCCCAGACTGAGCCAAGTGTCCCTGCATAAGCTCCAGGTGTCAAACTATAACTATATTATAAGAGGTATAGTCACCCTTTCTGCTCTGTCAGCACAGAAGAGTCGAGTGTGATGTCTCTTCTGAACGACAATGTAGGTTATTCCAGGTTGATAGTCTTTCTCCAAACTGATACAGGCTTCTCGAATTGCCAGTAGCTCATAGTACAACACCTAGAGAAAATACAACAGAAAGATTGAATACAGCCAGCTGTTTCTTTTACATATTCCAAAGTAAGATAATGGTGTAATTTCATGACTTATTCTTAAAGATCAATTTTAATTCATTCATTTATCTTTAGTTTTTTTTTTTTTTTTTTTTTTTTTTTTTTTTGAGGCAAAAGAGGTTTCTCTGTGTAGCCCTAGCTGTCCTGGAACTCACTTTGTAGACCAGGCTGGCCCTAAACTCAGAGATTCTCCTGCCTCTGACTCCTGAGTGCTGGGATTAAAGACATGTGTAATCACCACCTGGCTAGATCAATTTTATTTTAAGTCATGTGTATGTGTGTGATGTGAGTTTGTGCACATGACTACAGGTGCCCTGGATGCCAGAAGAAGGCATCAGATGCCCTGGAGTTACAGGTTGTAGTAAGCCATCTGATGTGGGTGCTAGGAACCGAAATCAGGTCCTCTGCAAGAGCAGCAAGCACTCTTAACCACTAGGCCACCTCTCCAGCCCTGCCTCTGAACTTCTTAACATTACTTACTTCACAGCTCAATATGCTTCTCCACTTCATTTTTAACTATGAGCACAGCAGTGAAGGCTCACACATCCATAGGAACATTTTAAAAAGGAAGATCTACCCAAGCGTCAGCTTTGATTTTGGGAACTTTTAATTTCAGGTTTTCACCTTCAGAACTCAATAGCACATCATAAACATAGTATTTGGTTTATTTATGGTGTAAATATATTCCAGGCAACCAACCTGTCTAAACTGTCCTTCTGAAACACCATCCCGATAAAAGATAATGCGAGTAGGCTTGAATCGGGTTGACTTATAAAACTGGATGAGCAGCTCCCGGACCATGGAGGCCAAGTCCTGGATGATTTCCTGCCGAGGTCTCTGAACTCGCACTGTGGCACAGTATCTGCTTGGATGGGCATCCATACTGCCTACAACCTAGGGTGGAAAAAGTGAGAAAAAATTAAAATGATCAAAACTAAACTGTCTTCATTTACATATGTATTTTATTGTAGTCTTACTTTTTATCATGATTTACTTCAAAAGTAACAAAAACTAGACAATCCTCAATAGAGAACAGAAAAAAAGACTAGAATAGTGTCAAAAACAATTAGGCAGCATTTTTTTCTTTTTCCATTTTCATGTGTGTGGTGTATATGTGTGCATATCGATATTTTTCATGTTTGGGCACATGTATATGCTTCCCCTTACATGTGAGTTGCACAGTTATAGAAAAAACAAGCAGGCAGATTACAACAGTTACAGGAGATTTGAGGAAGTTAATAGATTTAATAGGTATATTATATGGAACTTGTACCCCTAACACCAGAATGATTGATTTTGGCAAAAAACTCTCAAACCTAAAGGGCAATAATGAAAGTTGGCTACAAGAAAATCATTAAAGAACTGTAAAGATTAAACACTACTCCCTCACCCCCCCAAAACAAAATATAAGTCAGGGGCTGGAGAGATGGCTCAGCAGTTAGGAGCATTGGCTGTTCATGCAGAAGACCCTGGTTCAGACCCAGCACCCACGTGGTGGCTCACAGCTGTCTGTAACTCCCATTTCAGGGATCCAATGCCCTCTGGCCTCCGAGGGAACTGCCCACATGTGGTGCACAGACACACACACAGGCAAAACACTCATACATAATAAAATAAAAATGAGATCTTAAAAGAGAAAAACCAAATCACGCAAGCAATAGTGGGCCAATAAAGTGAGCAGACAGTTCTGAAGAGAAGAAACACAGGGCCAGAGAGATAGCTCAGCAGGCAAAGACACCTGCAGCCAAGCCCAGCAGCCTGGATCTCATCTCTGGGATCTCCATGGTAGAAGGAGAATCAACTCCTCCAGCTGTCCTCTATCTCCACATGCGTGCCGTAGCACAAATAAATGTAATAATAAAGAGGAGATACAAAGCTAATAAGCAAACTTGGAAAGGGCTCAATGTCCTCAACCTTAAGGGAAATGAGAATAAAAAGTGCTGTGATCCCATCTCACCCAGTCAGAATGGCTGCCACCCACAACAGGTGTTAAAGGAGGACCTTACCCATCGTTGGTGGGAATGTACACGTGAGCAGCCACAGGTGACAGGCTTTTCAAAACACTGAAAATAGGACTACCATACTGCTTAGTTTTTCCGCTCTTGGGTACACGCCTGAAGAACTTCAAGTCAACACAGACCACAAAGATCCTTGTGCCTCCATGTTTATGGCTGCACTATTCACAACAGCTAGGAAAGCACACCAGCTTAGATGTTCATTAGCAGATGAATGGATAAATAAAATGGGGTGCAGGGGCCAGTAATCTGGGTTAGGGTGGGTTCCAGGGATGGAACTCAGATTGTCAGGCTTGGTGGAAGGAGAGAGCCAACTCCTGAAAGTTATCTCTGACCTCTGACCTTCACATACCCAAATAAATAAATAAATAAATAAATAAATAAATAAATAAATAAATAAATAAATGTAATAAAAAAGAAAATGTAGTACATGTATACTCAATGGAATTTTATGCAGCTATGTTCAGTATGTTCAGAAAAATGGATACAATGGAAATCATTTTGTTAAGTAAAATAAGCTAGTGTTAGAAAGACAGATACCACATGTTCTCTCACATACATGGTGCCTAAGTTTGGACTTTTGTTTTATCTGTATTTCATCTACATAAGGAGACTAAGTGGGAGAGTACAGAGCCCAGCTAGAGAAGGGAGGGCTACTGCAGAGGGCAACGGAGGAGGACATGGCTGAGAACGCAACACTGGCACCCAGAAGATTAATAAAAAGGAATATCACATATCAGACATGCAGAACCAAAGCACTGCTATCAGTGTGAACTTTAGATAAGGCAGACTCATCTGATGGACTCACAGCAGCAATGGAGGGCTTCTTTCCATCACCAGCAGGTGGGTGAGTGACATCTGCGCCCAGGAAGATCACTGGTTGCTGGAACACAGAAGGTCTTAAACACATTTTTTTAAAGGGTTAGACTTCATTTGTTTCATCTGTTCCACATGATTGCAATATAACTGCAAGCCACTGACAGTCCAGAGGACGCCCTCTACAGACAACAGACGCTTCACAGAACTCCACTGCTCACTAACTCTTTTTTTTTTTTTTTTCAAGACAGGGTTTCTCTGTGTAGCCCTGGCTGTCCTGGAACTCACTCTGTAGACCAGGCTGGCCTTGAAGTCACAGAGATCCGCCTGTCTCTGCCTCCTGAGTCCTGGGATTAAAGGAGTGCGCCACCACATACAGCCCAAGAAACTCTTAATTCATGAATCTCTACTCTGTTACATTTCTCTGATGTCTTGTGAGAACTTTCATGTTTTAAACAGGGATACTGAGGTTGCAAAAGACAACTGATGCAAATATTCTCTGTAATGTGGACAAACATGATATGTTTCTTCATAATATATCATTAAATTTCATTCATTTAAAAAATCTACTTACATTTTAAGTCTTTGGGATTTAAGGACAAAAAGAATCAGCAAGCCTTTGACGTTCAGTTTTAGTATATTTTACACTTTTAGGCAGGGATTATAGGCATCTACTATTCCCTGGCCCAAAGAATAAAATTTGAGTATATATTTAATAATCATAAAACCCCAGCATTTCCTTTTATTTTAAACTTCACCCTTTAAAATGAAAAAACTGAAGCTGAGAGATGGCTCAGCAGTTGTTTGCCCCGAGAACTGGGGTTTAATGCTTAGCATCTCACATGGTGGCTCACAACCCTCTGTAACTCCAGTCCTGGGGGATCCAACACTTCTCCTCTCCGGCCTCCACGGGCACTGCACGTGCATGTGCACAGAGATCCATATAAAATAAAGATTACAAATTAAAAAAATATTGACTATTTCTCATTTATGAAACTCATCTCCTGTTTAACAAGACAGACTCACTATAGCTGTCCTGGAACTCACTCTGTAGACCAGGATGGCCTCAAACTCACAGAGATCCACCTGCCTCTGCCTCCCGAGTGCTGGGGTGAAAGGCATGTGTTTAACCATTCAGTTATGTCTCCAGCTCCAACAATCTCTTTACCTTTCTAAACCGTCTATATAGTTTACTGGAAGAATCACTAAGGTTGCCTCTAGTATCTGATAGTAGTTAGTTAGGCTTATGTAGAAAAAAAAGAGTGAAATAGAATAGCTTACCTTTGATGAGGTACAAGAATATTATTGATTCCTCCAAGTTTAACATTGATCTTTAGGCACAAGTTTGAGAGAGTTTGAGGAGATGTTTTTATTACATTCTTGACTTGCACACACTGTGTGGCCATACCCAAAAGTGTATCTCCTACACGTTTCACCTCCGCTATGGAACAAACACAAATGGCCCAGTTAGAAAGAAGACACCTGAAAATAAATTCACTCATTGACAAGAAGGCTATGAAGGATACCCTGGAATATATCATGGTATATTATAGGGTACCTGAAATTATACCAATACTAAAACAGTGCTAGTAAAATGCATGGACATTTTAAGCATTAACTTAGAATTTTTCTATTGGTTTATTTTTGCATCTGAAAAGTATATCTAAAGGTTTATACTTTTAGTCAGGCATGGTGGTGTATACCTTTAATTCCAGCACTCAGAGACAGAGGCAGGGGGATCTCCAGGTTCGAGATCAGCCTGGTCTACAGAGCAAGTTCCAGGACAGCCAGGGATACACAGAGAAACCCTATCTTGAAAAAAAGAAAAAAATAAATAAAAATTTATACTGTTTTTATTTCATTCTCTCTCTGTGTGTATGGACTTGTGTATATAATGTGTGTGATGTGTGCACATGTAGAGGTCAGAGGAAACTCTGTGGCTTGGTTCTCTTCTTCCATCTTTACATGGGCTCCAGGGATCACACTCAGGCTGTCAGGCTTGCACAGCAAATGCCTTTACCTGCTGAGCTACTTTGACAACCCAGAAAAGTATATTTTTAGAACTGAAGGAAAAGAGAAGATGCCTTTCTCAAATTTAGAGGATTATTAAGTTGAAGACAATTAAGATGCAGAAGAAGGAGTGGATCTAGGAGAGGCTGGAGTTCACTGTATGCATGTAGTAAATTACAAAAGAATAAACTAAAGTATTATATTAAAAAAGATGAAAAAGAACTAGCTAAGAACAAGTACTATTCAACACCTGTAAGTTCAGCTCCAGGAAATGTACACCTCTGGACCTCACGAACACCGGTACTTACATGCATGTACCCCACACAAACACACATACATACAGATTTAAAATAAAATAGATTTTTTAAATTAAGAAAAACTATGTGTATGGTGTTTGGCCTGCATGTCTGTGTACCACATGTGTGTCTGATGCTTGAGGAGGCCAGAAGAGTTAATATAGTGGCTGGCTTTTCCCTCTGATACTCAGGTAAATTTTACTGGGAGACACAGTATATTGGGGGACACAATACATCACCACACAGGTCTCTGTGAGTTTGAGGTCAGCCTGGTCTACAGGATGAGTTCCAGGACAGCCAGGGCTACACAGAGAAACCCTGTCTAAAAAAAAAGGTAAAGGAAAAGGGAAAGAAAGATGACTACATACAACGACATACAAATGACTCCACCTTGTGACAGTATAGAAAAGGCAAAACCAGAGTGATAGTAAAACCAAGCAGTGGTTTCAAGACCTGAGGAGGGAGGAGGATGAACAGAGGAACTAAACAACAGGGAAACTCTTCCGTATGGTGCTATAACAATGGACAGACACACACTTGCCAGACACACATGCTGTTCAACACGAATAGTGGGCTTTAATGTAAACTGTGGGCAATGCAGTAATCATTCATAATTAATACTTTTAACAATATGAATGCTGTTGATTCGGTAAATGTACTGCATTAAGGAAAAAGGTTAATTGTCTGTGGTGACATTTTGTTGTACTCTAATAAAATTTGCCTGAAGATCAGGGGACAGAACAAGCCACTAGATTAAACATAGAGGCCAGGCAGTGGGGGCACACACCTTCAATCCTAGCACCTGGGAATCACACAACTTTAATCTCAGCACTGGGAAGATTGAGATAGGAAGTGATATGGCTGGGCAGAGCAGAAAAAGGAATATAAGGCGGGAGGGGACAGGAACTGGGGCTCTGTCAGGCTGAGGAGTTGTGAGGTAAGAGGTGGTGGCTGTGGCTTGCCCTTTCTTGCGGGCCACAAGAATATATTATAGAGATTCAGCTGTGTATTAAAGCTATACTTTGACTGGCCAATGGTCCTGTCAAGAAGCAAGCTATTTATTTATGAATATTTGGTGCTATCCAGCCTTTAATATTCCAGCTGTCTTCTACTATGAAATTCCTGCATGCTCAAATATTTTCAGACCTGCTGAACTTCTAGATAACTTCCCTGATGGAGCCAGTACTTGGATAGGTCAAGCAGGCAAAGACAAAATGGTGGGAGATGTATAGCTTTGTTTCTTGTGCAAATGAAGCTCAGACCATCCCTCTGACCTGAGGCCTAGTGGCTCTCCAGAGCAACTGACTGAGAACAAAAGAGGTTTTTATATATCAAGGTGAGAGGTACAATAACATTCTTGAGGAGACAGAGAACCACGTGCCCAGGGAAAGAAAGGGCAGGCATTTTCTGTAGAAAATGGACAGAACGGCATGGTGATAGAGAAGCGGGGCAGACAGGTTCTGTAGAGGGTAAGCAGATCTCGGGTAGAGTTTTCTGAGTGCCAGGAGTAGAGATGGAGAAAGAGGATACAGAGGACGAAGATGAGGCTGGAAGTATAGGAGTTTAGTGGTTAGCAGGACTATGAGCTAGGGAACTGGATGGGACTGAAGCTATGGAAACAGGATTTCACCCCAGAGAAATAAAGTAGATGGATGAAAAGCTTGGTGTGTCTAGAGTTGTTCCTGCCCTGAATGCCTGACGAGCTGTAGCTGTACTGATAGAATTTTGTCTTAGAGGAATAAAGTTAACAGACATAAGAACATAGTGTACGTAGATTTTTTTTTCCCCTCAGATATCCCACCCTGGACGTAGCTAAATCCCCAGTACTCCTGGGTACTCCACAGCTCTGCTTCTCTGATCTTTCAGCTTTCACCCTGATATCTGGTTCTGGGTTTTCATTAGGACCAATTAGGATTTGTGCGACAATTGTCTGTTTAGGAAAAACTATGCAAAGGGCAGATGGCACGGGAACTCCCTAGGCTGTCTGTCCAATTCTTCTGTAAATCTAAAGCTATTCTAAGAAAGTGTATTTATTTATTTAATTTATGCGTGTGTATGTGTTTACATGTTCATGTGTGTGCAGGTGTGTGCGCACATGTGTGAGAAGGTCAACCGTGAGTGTAATTCCTCAGCAGCTGTCAACCTTGTTTCTTTTCTCTATTGGAAATGGTGCAGAGACCAGGCTGGAGGGAGATGAATGTAATGTAGGTATAAACAAACAAACAAAACCCAGTAAACACTTTGGAGGCTTTGAAAATACTTTGCTTCCCACCAACAGTATGTAAGTGCGTATTTATTCAAATTTTTCTCAAGAATAGGTATTATCATTATTGATGAGAACTGATTTACTCTAGTTAAAACTTTAGTGATTAGCAATCCAGAGTAGTTTCTTCTGTTCTATGCTGGGCACTGGACCCAGAGTCATGTGCATGTTAGGCAAGTGCTTCACCACTGAGCTATATCCACAGATAAACTAATTCTTTTGAACAGGTATTCTGAGTTTGAAACACTGAATTACAGACTAAGAACACACGTGCAGGGTTGGTGATACAGCTCAGTTAGTAAACTGCTTGCCAAACATGCACGAGGCCCTGGTTTCGGTCCTCAGCATCACATAAACCGAGCATGATGGTGTGCACCTCCTCTAATCTCAGCACTTGGGAGGTAAAAGCAGCAGGATCAGAAATCCAGGTTATCTTCAGCTACATAGGAAGTTCAAGACCAGCCTGGGCTAGAAACCCTGTCTTTAAAAAAAGCTCATAAGTTAATTAATTAAAAGAAAAGGCTAGAAAAAAATTGCCTTTGTTGAACCATGATGTTCAAATTTTTTCTAATGATAAGCTAGTATTTACTGTTTCCATTTGTTGTGTTCTATTGATTTCAATTTTAATATATTAACGATACACAAAAATCTCAATTTTTATGTGGCCAAATGTAACAATTTTCTCTGTTATTTCTTCTATCTCTTTTTGCACTTGCTTACTGAGCCTCAGGGCCCTTCTGTCATTTTTTTCCTTTCTTTTTTTAAAATTTATTTTTATTCTGTATCTGTGAGTATTTTGGCTGCATGGATGTCTTTGCATCTCATGTATACCTGATTTCTATGGAGACCAGACGAGGGCATTAGATCCCCTGGAACTGGAGTTACAGACAGTTGTTAGCTGCCATGTGGGTGCTGGGAATAGAAACTGGGTCTTCTGGAAGGGCTTTTAACCATCAAGTCATTGTTCCAGCCCCCACTTCCTCCCTCCTTTCCTCTTTCTTTTTTTTTTTGGGGGGGGGGAATATGTGTAAGTGTTTGTGCATATGTGTGTGTGTGTGTCTGTGTGTGTGTGTGTGTGTGCACGTGTGTGCATGTGTGCATTTGAAGGTGGAGACCAGAAGTTGGTGTAAGGTGTCTTCTTCAGTCACTCTTCCCTTTGTTTTAGGAGACAGGAGCTCTCACTGAATGTGGAGCTAACCATTGGCTAGCCTGGCTGGCCAGCTGGCCCAGAAACTCCTGTTTCTGCCTCTCCAGTGCAGGGATTGCAGGCGCATGCTGCTGCGCCTGGCTTTCCTTCTCGGGGATCAAGTCAGGTCCTCACGCTTGTACAGCTAGCACTTCACCCTGATGGAACTACGTCCTACCTCACGTCTGTCATTTCTAAGGTGACATTATTGTACTACATTCAATGGTTTATAAGCTATGCTTTCCCATGAATCATGGATTACATTTATTTTATTAATCTTACAAAACTTTACTTTGTATACAGTCATAAAAGGCTATTATATATATAGTATCTCAGTTCCACAGGTGAGGGAAGCAAAGCTTACTACAGTTAGGTAATTCCGTCACATCGCAGGAACACTGAGCAAATAGTCTATCTCCAAAACTCTATGCTTCTAACCTACCACCTTATCCTGCTACTCAAGGTATTCAAGGCTGTTTTATTACACAATTCTTCTCTTAACCACTGCTTGTGATGTCTATCTTAGGTATTAAAACTCATCTCTCAGAGTCTCCTTTTCTACAATAAGCTTACAGGTTTTGCCTTAAAGTAATGATATGCAATTTTAAATACAATGGTATAAATATATTTTAGTATTTGAAAATTTTAGGCTATCTAAAAGCAATGTTAAGCAGGAGAAGGAAAAAAAATGCAATATTTCTGTTGTTTCAGTGCCAGAGATCAAACCCAGGTCTGTGTGCATCTTAAGCCAGTGCTCTAGCAATGAGCTAAAAATCTCACTCCTGAAAAATTTTAAAATGTCCTTACCATACACAGGTGTCTTCCCCGGCAGGATGACAATGATGAGCTGCAGTCCCGAGTAGGTGTTCTTGAGATGTCGGAACATGGGCTCCACGCTGTCTGCTCCCTGTGCATATTTGCAGAAGCATGGCTGACCCTGGATGGGCATCCCTGCATCCTTGGAAATCTTTCGAAGCTGGTCCGTGAAACCTCTAAAGAAAGTGAAACCACAAAATAGAAGACCTTTGTCTAGACATCAAAATGTACAAAATATTTTATCTTTTCTATGTGTAGTATTAAGGATTGAAACCATGATCTGTGTGTGTTTACTTTACACTGAGCTATATCTCTAGCTCCAAACCTACCTCATAGTAATGAAAAGTTTAAGAAAGAAATGGAAGCTGGGCATGGTGGTGCACACCTTTAATTTCAGAACTTGGGAGGCAGAGGCAGTGAGTTCGAGGCCAGCCTGCTCTGCAAAGTGAATCCAGGAGAGCCAGGATTACACAAAGAAACCCTGTCTTGAAAAACCAGGAAAAAAAAAAAAGAAAAAAAAAAGGGAAGAAGGGAGGGAGAGAGAGAAAAAGGAAAGAATGAAAAGGGCAGATGAAGTATAGATTGTTGTGTGCTTGCTCCATACATAAGGTTACCAGATCCCTAATGTTAAGGCAACAGATGACCAGTCACCTAGAGTAATCTCCTCTAATCCTTTGGGGCTATGCACAGAGTCCCTAGTGGGGCTAGGGAGACAGCTGGGCTGGTAAAAGGTTTGTTGTGCATGTCTGTGCTGTACTGGGGAGGTGGAGGTGGGAGGCTCCCTGTGGCTTGCTGGCCAGCCAGCCTAACTGAATTAATGAATTCTAGATTCAGAAGGTGAATTAATGAATTCTAGATTCAGAAGGTAAGGTGGAAGGTGATTAGGAAGACTCATGAAATCAACTTCTGTCCTCAACAAGTATGCACATACCTGCACATGAACACATGCACACATATACACATATATACGCACATACAACACCCATTGGATGTTTGAAACTGAGGATGCTATCTATAAGTTAATGCCTTTTTATCTTAACCAATGGCTATAATTTTTGAAGTCTCAGGTATAATTTTCCTTCCTTCCTTCCTTCCTTCCTTCCTTCCTTCCTTCCTTCCTTCCTTCCTTCTTCCTTTCTTGTTGTGTTTTTTGAGACAAGGTTTCTCTGTGTGTGTAGCCCTGGTTGTCCTGGAACTCACTACATAGACCAGGCTGGCCTTGAATTCAGAGATCCACCTGCCTCTGCCTCCTGAGTGCTGGGATTAAAGGTGTATGCCACAACACCAGGCTTTATAATTTCAAGAATAAAATATTCATTCTTAATGTATATCTTTGAAACTTCAGCATGAAATCTTTTCTTTCCTTATCAACCTTTTCACTTAAAAAATTCAGTGAGTTCTAGGCGAATGAGAGGCCCTGGTCAAAAAGGAAGTAGATAATGCCTGATGAATGACATCTTAGGCTAACCTCTGCAATGCACACCCACATGTACTTGCACATGTGGGGTGCACATGTACACACAGACAAATTATTTTTGAGACTGGGTCTTGCTAACTTGTGATTCTCCTGCCTCAGCCTCCCATGTAACTGGAATGATAGATCATCCCAGCTGGATGAAAGAAATAGTTTTAAAGGTTCATTGGTTACATATACTCCATATAGAGGTAACATTTGTTAGAACATTAGATGAATAATTGAAAACTGGAATGCAGGGCTAGGGGTGTAGTTCAGCAATACAGCCTATTGGATATACAAGGTCCTGGGTTCACCCTTAGTGCCACCAAAAAATAAAAATTAAAAAAATTGTTTTAAAATTCCAAACCCACAAGGTCCCCACACCAAACCAACGCAGCAGCTTACTTCAGTATTTCTTCTCGGCACTGCCTCTGTGTGGCAAAGCAAGCTATGGCCCACATTTTGATTTCAACTCCCGTGTGGAATTGTTTTCCTCGCATGTCCCACACGCCGTGGCTTGGTGTTGCCACTGTCCGGTTCTGTAAGAGAAATAGCACGATGGAAAAACAAAGATTTTACCGGACAATGCACTTCAGTGAGCTCAAGTAAGCATTTCAGACTGCTGAACTGATACATCCTTAACACTCTATGTGGAGCTGACTGTTCTAAATCAGTATTATTTATACTGTTGAAATCTAAGAGGCCAGCAAGATGGTTCAGCAGGTAAAGGCAGGTGCTTGTCCCCAAGCCTGATGACTGCGTTTGACACCCCACCACACACAAGAACTCAGATGGTAGAAGGAGAGGACCCAACTTCCTCAAGTTACCCTCTGACTTCCACATGTCAGAGGCACACATGTGCACCCCTCATAAAAAGTAAGTTCATGTAAAAAAATTATGCTAAATTCAAGCAAAGAAATCCACTTTGAAACAAATAAAATACCTAACATATCGTTGGAACAATCAAATAGTAAGTTCAAGACTTAGAGTATCACTCTCTCCAGACTCAGCAATTTCAACATGAGATTACAATACTGCTTTACCCGTCCTCCATACTGGAGCATAGGTGCCGGAAGTACGCGTCCCGTTACGTGGGCCATTTCATCCCGCACTTTAAACTGGAACTCCTGGACGAACGGATCTGTTTCATAATTTGCACTTCTTACCTAGCAACAGAAAAGATCGGTCATTATTCGCAGACTTTCCCCGAGCCTCTCGCTGTACTTGCTGGAACCTCCTCTTTTCCCCACTACGCCAACCACACAGTTTGCAGTGAGAATCAAAGGTGCCCTGACTATAAAGCACAGAGTGTTATCCTGCAGACTGTGGGTCAGTGACTGTGGGAAGTCTGTGAACACCTTGGTAATTTATTCAAAACTTAAATGGATATTAGGTTGAATAATACACTTTAACTATTTGTGACCCATGAAAATGATAATTTTAAATAATTAAGTAATTTCAGGAGAGAGAAACACCTCTGGGAGGCAGAGGCAGGCAGATCTCTGTAAGTTCGAGGCCAGCCTGGTCTACAGAGCTAGTTTCAGGACAGCCAGGGCTACACAGAGAAACCCTGTCTTGAAAATCAAACCAAACCAAAACAAACAAAAACAAAAATTAAAAAAACCCTCTGATTGGATGGCATAGCTTAGTCAAAACAAAAACAAAAACCCTCTGATTATAAAGAATCTAGGAACATAATGTAAGAATCTGTTTTATGTAAAGGTTGACAGCAAATATTAAAAACAACTTTTTTCTAACTACCTGCTTTATAATTTATATGAATATATTTCATTTTACTTCAGTATTTTCAGATATATTACGTTATATATAAATTTATTTAATGAGAAATAGTAAAAAAAAAAGATTTTAAAAAAAGCCAGCATCAGTTATAGCTTATATATATATATATTTTGGTGGTTTTTTCAAGACAGAGTTTCTCTCTCTCTCTCTCTCTCTCTCTCTCTCTCTCTCTCTCTTTCTTCCAGACAGGGTTTCTCTGTGTAGTTTTGGTGCCTGTCCTGAATCTCGTTCTGTAGACCAGACTGGCCTCAAACTCACAGAGATCCTCCTGGCTCTGCCTCCCTAGTGCTGGAATTAAAGTGTGTGCCACCACCACCCGGCTATTTTTTTTTTTTTGAGAGATTATAAATTTTATATAACATATCCATACATAGAGTCAAAGAAAGAATACACAGTTGGTCAGTGTTATATCTTACTCTAAGGTATGCTACTGGCTATTTTTACTTGTCCTCAATGCAACAATTTACAAAAAGAAGGCAGTGTCAAGTCTGAGAAAAAAGTCTATTTACAAAACTATATAATTTAAATGCTTAAACACAATCTTCTGACAATAAGCAGGAAAAGCCACTTTTTAAATTAGGCAGTGATGAATCTTTTTTCTTCAAACCTGTCAATCACTTTTGGTGTCTGCTAATGTCTCTCTGTAATAAGGTTATAAAGAATAACAAATAGCATTAATGAAGATTGCTATGTAACATGAACTGCTAAACGGTCTTATTAATAAAAAGTCTGGAACCAGATATTGGGGTGAAAACTGAGAGATCAGACGAATAGAACAAGCCAGCCA